CATCCGCGCCACTGTCTGCCCAATAGTGCCGAATAAATTCGCGATTTCCATACTACTTTCTTATGTTGATGTGTTTTTTATATTGATATGTTTTTTATGACCTTTCAGCCGTCTCATAAAAGAAATCAGATAATCACTCACAATAAATAGGCAAATGTCTGAAAATTTAACAAAAAAATGCTTAGCTTACAAGTCAAATGAGAGAAAATTTGCAAGTTGTTACAAGATTGTTATTTCCGCTTAGTCAGTCTCATACCACACCGGAAGTGTACAACCGGAAGCAATGGAAATAACGTTATTTGAAGCATCGTTAGGTTAAGCGCCAATTGAAGCGTCAAATGGGCCATTGAGGGCTCTATAATATGCACAAAACGCTTATGAATAAATTAGTGACAACAAAGAAATGTGTGGGAAAGTGGAAAAAATTTTTGAAATAGTTAGAGAAATAGCAAATGCGGCACGCAAATACTTTGCAGGCGCATGGAAGTGAAAATTTAAGTGTAGCAAATTTCGGGAGGAGTTTCAAGGAAATGCGCAAATTGTTGCTCTCTGACAGTGTGGAATTTCTAAATGTATGCCAAAAGCCGCTGAAATGTTTAAATTAAATTACGCAAATGTCATTGGAAAAATGTAATAAAAATTCTCGAAATTTATTTTCCAATAAAAGCTTGACAGCGTTGCAGCAATATTTCTCGCATAGTCACTAATGCTAAGCGTTGGTTAGAACCAATATACGCACAAGCAACACGTATCATATGCCTTCATTCCTTTCCAACTTCATTTACAGCTCTTCTCTTATCCTTCTGCCTCCTGCTTCGTTTACTTTCGTCAAACATGTGACTCTACTCTAGAAACTACTAGCAATCTTTTTGTGTATATATAAACATTTCAACATGTATTGTATATTATTATACATGTACATATCATACAAATATATGATGTTGCTGTTGTAGCAATTTCGCAAAATAGTTAACGGCAATTTATATGCCTACTATCCCTCAAAGCATTTTGGCTTGGTCAAAATAGTTTGTTGCGGTTGTAAATGCTGCTAACTTCCTTCATATCTACAGTTAACGCTTAACCGTTATATATGGCAAGTGGGCGTGAACTTCTGCTGACCATGCCCATTTATTTTCTCATTCACACATTTATTAAAAAATACACTTCTATACCGAAAAAAAAGCTAAAACTTAAAGCTTTTGCTCGAATCCGTCAAAGTAGCATAAACCGTTATATTTCAAATCACGTTCTTTTCCACGAACTATGCACATTTTTAGCTATTATAGTTAGTTACTGGCCAAATTAGTTATTAGCACCGATTTTTGAGCTTACAACGCCTTTTTTTAGGCTTCAGTCTACAAAACGTTATACCGTTGTGTGGCAAGTGGGCGTGTTGTTAATATGATTCTTACGATTTCTTGTTACATTACTATGTAAAAGATATAAATTTCTGGACGGTAGCCCGTTTTTTACAAACTCCATATAAAACCTTTATAAAAAAGTGGGTGGGTGGATCTTCATTCAAATTTTACCGTTTCTTTTAAAATTGCTAGAATCTCTGTAGTGATATTCTTAAACATTTTAAATAAAAAATATTTATAAATTTTCAGCAAGTGTGCTATTTTTCCACATTTAATTGTCAAACAAGTACCAATATTCAACCAAAGCTTCATAAATTTAGGTAAGAGCCCGCAAACGACGTGCTGTGCACAAAAAACGTTGCCTACTTTTAGGAAATTTACGACTACCTATTACGCTTATACAAATACAACACATGCAAAATCACGTGTTTACATATTCTCATCTGCACAGCATAATTGGGTCAAAAGCCAAGCTGATCATGGCGTTACCACACAAAATAATTGGCATACTTTCAGGCGTTAATTAAGTGCATACATTTGACTACACGGCCACATCAGCACAACGTCTGCATGTGGATATTTTATGTTTTATACACTTTTTTGAAACGTCTGCGCAAAGTATGCGTATATTTGCATACTTTTGTGTGGCGCCAAAAAGCGCTGCTGCTGAACAGTAGAACAAACACAAAATGCATGCGTTGAGTAAATTAAAGAGTTTACAAATATAAAGTGAGCTAATTTTTGTTTGCACTCATCTGCCGCAAGAGATTTGGCAATAAAGTTTTCGTTGTAGCTTTTGCTGCATCAACTGGCCTGTTTTAAAATTTGCACTGCCTAAAGGTAGGCCATGAAATTATATAAATATACAATTTTAGTCACTTGAGCGCAATGTAGAGAGTTGTCAAATAAATTTATTGATAGTTATTCAGCAGTGTGATATACTAATATGTGTTTTGAAGTTTGCGGTGCCTAAATGTAGGCAGTACAATTATAAAAAGTTAAATTCTTACGACTTAAGCGATGTACAGCAGCGTTTTCAGCATACTTATTGAATGTCATTCCAGATCGCGATATATCAAACCTGATATTTGAAACAATTACGATGTTTACAATACTAGCAAGGCTTCATATGCGATAGCGCTATGTCTAATTTTTATACAAATTTTTTAAGAACATTTTTTAATAAGTTATCGCGTTTTATTTTAAATTTTACCGAGATTTGCTACTTTGTAAAAAATGGTAACTAGTTCTAAACCAGTTACAAAAAGAATGAAAGTGTAACTAGTGCAATTATGCAACGTCATTGTTCGTAATACAAAAATTATGTGTATTATCGAGTTTTTCTTACACATCTCAACGAAATTTTCAATTTTGTAAACGTTAATTAGTTCTAAACTAGTTATAAAAAGATTAAAAGTTTGACTAGTGTAAATATGTGTTGTCATGCATAACAATTCAAAAAAAAACCAAACAGCCAACCCTCTTTATTTTACTAGCTGATGACCGTACTCTACGCGATATTAAATTCATTGTTATATGTGCCCACACTTACATATATGCTTGCCCAAATATATGGTATATTAATAGCAACAATGTATTGCTAAGCACGCTAAATAAATATAAATTTGTTATATGCAAACGCATGTTGCATACTTTAAGGCGCGGAAGCATGCCAGTTTCTAATATTGCGCCATATTTCCTCACTTTTTGGAGATCATGCATATAATATATATTATGAGCTATGAAAATTATTATCATGCAAAGTTAAAACCAAATTGTGTGTACAAATATGCCTCTGAATAACGCCACGATAATTTCATGTTTAGTACTATATACTAGATTAGCACAATATAACTGAATAACAAATTTTATTGCCGAGCTGCTTCCTTACATAACCATCTTGCCAATACATATTAGTCTTTGCCATTTTGACTTTAATTTCTGCTATACAAGCAGCATTGTGTGCTAGCTTCACATTCAATTGTGGCCTACATTTAGGCGCACTGAAGCGAGCAGTGCTCAATTTGTATTTGTGGGTTATTTATGCGTATACATAGTCAAACACACTGGTAGGTTGGCCGAAGGGTGCAAGAGAAAGTATTTGACTGGCAAAAGGTTGCCAAATTGCTTGTGCATAAAAATAAATATATAATTATAGCAAACGTGAATTGAGCGCATACATACCAAATATGTTTATATACATACATCTGTTTATATACATTTATGTGTGTCTTGACTTGGCCAAAAATGCTTGAACTCTGTAAAGAAAGTGACAGCTGTCACCGAAACCCGATTCAAAGGCGGCCAACTACCTCTTCTCAGTTCGGTTGTTTGTTTATTTAACTATTAATGCTGCATGTTGATTATGCGAACGTGTTGCCTTTGCATTTTGCTATATATAATACATATGTTGTATATATAAAATAGAATGTTAGAATTGTAGTCAAAGGTCAACGAGCAACAGCATAAAACAACAGCAATGCCAATAATTGAGAACGGTGGCAGCAGTAATAATCATAAAAATAAAACTTTACATAAAATGATGTACCGTTGTAATAGTATATATGTATGTTCGTAAAAGTATATTGTGCTTTAATGCACTTGGCACTCATCAGCATATACTAAAATTAGAGTATTTTTTATATTGCCTACATTTGGGCGCAGTCTTCGACTTATCTAGGCTTAATTTAAGCTTAAGTTAAGTTACTTAAGTGAGTTCTGGCTTCATACTAATTTAGCAGATCCTAATTAGAATTTTGAAGCCACTAATGAAGATTCTACAAAACTGTACATCCTACAAGTGCCAGCATATACTGAAATTTGTGTAGTTTCTTTTATATTGTCTACATTTGGGCGCAGTTAGTAATAAAAACTCACACTTAATCCCGAGGTTCCAGTTAAGCTTACGCTAAGTTACTTAAGTGAGTTAAGTTATTAAGCCATCAGACTAATTTAGCAGATTCTAAGTAAAGTTTTGAGCCAACATATACTGAAATAAGTGTTTTTCTTTTATGTTGTCTACAATCGTTCGCAATCAGTAATAAAAGCTCATACCTGATGCCTGGATGTGCATTCTTTAGGCTTAAGTGCATAGGAAAATGAGTTAACGACATCACTGGCTACTTTATGCGAATTAGAGTAGCCACTGCTGAAGATTTTACAAAACTGTAAGTCACGTTTGAACCCTTAGTTTGAATTTTGGCTCAAAAAAGTTACCATCGAACAAGTTCAAATGTGAATGCATATGTAAATAATGCTCTCAATTACTGTGAAGAAAATATCAATTCGGTGTTTAAAAACCGTACTAGTCTCAAACAAAATAAAAAGATACTTCTAAAACAATGATCAATTCTTTTCTCAATTGATGTTATATGCAGCTCTCTGAGTTCGAGTCTTGCTTCTTTTCGGCAGTTCTTTTTTTTCCATTTCTCGAACTAAGGACTTCGAAGATTTATTTTCTTATCTCGTGAGCTTGCTCGCAAAATCCGTTTCTCCTCACATAATAAAATTACCAATTACTCATTATACATTCGTGCACATTACTCTGCTTTTATGCCTCACTCTCATTATTCAACACGCTGTCATGCACTTCATCATCTCATTTATTATGCCTTTTTATGGCTCGTTTATTGAGTTTTTCATTTTTTTCTTTTTTCTTACAACTTGTCTTCTTCTTCTGAGCTCATTGCTCATTCGTAAAGGCAAGCATTTTTTAACGCTTATCCCGCATTGAGTTTCCGAACACTCGCTTTGTTGCTTTGCATAATTTTTATTCTTTTTTTCCTATTTCTTCTTCTGTTTCTTCTCATTTAATGTAATTTTAAATAATTTTTATACAGTCTTAATTTAGTAACAACTGTCTTCGGCATGGCCCATTTGATCCCGTACTCGCTTAGCTGGCTAATGTAATTAACTTACTTACTCAGAGCTCATGCTTATTATTCCACTTTGCCTTTGTCCTGCTCTCGTAATTCCTTAAAGGATTTTAATTAAGTGTTTAAGCGGTTCGTTTAATACAAAGTGCGGAGAAAGATGGCGAGTAGTTTTGTGACAGGTTGACATTTTGTCGCATTAACCGTAATGAATTGTTTAATGAAGTGGTCAAACTGTAATTATTAGGGATACACTTTTTGTATTTAAAATTACTGAAAGCATAGTTGAGTACTTATAAAAATATGTATAAAGACGCCGCATGGAAAATATGAATTTTGCGTGACTTAAGTAATCCCGAAATTTCGGGATTCGCTAAATATACTTTTGGGATCCCGAATTTTTTCATTCATATCATAAAACAAATAACTTTACATATGTGTTTCATTTACTGAATCCCGAAAATTCGAGATTTTGCAATTCGGGATCCCGATTTTTTTCATTCGTATAAAGACACCGCATGGAAAATATTCATTTTTCGTAATTTAAGTAATCCCGAGATTTCGGGATTCGCTAAATATACTTTTGGGAAAAAAAACCAAATTTTTTGCATACTCATTTACTGAATCCCGAAATTTCGGATTTAGAAATTTGGGTATTCGGGACTCGTTAAATATGCTTTCGGGATACCAATTTTTTAATTTTTTCCGTGAGCGTAGAAGGCCTGAGAGCGCGGAACTCCAATATAAGCAAGCCAGTTTGTATTTAGTCCCATTTTTCGCTCAATTTCCATAAATCACTTAAACCAGAATTAGTAATGAATACTCCCTCATTGATTAACAATCGCATATTAACGGCAAATCAATTGGGAACCACGTAAAATCTTTAAGAATTTAAACAAAATTGCTTTGCCAGCAAGACATGTTCGCATATCAACACAGCCACACACTTGCTCATAAATAATGCATGCACATAAATCGCACTTAGGATTTGAGTTGGTGTTAACTTGGCTCATGTGATGGAGTCAAGGAGCAAATAACATTTGTGCGGAGCATATTGCCCTCGCAAACGACCCACTCTGTTTAAAATCCCTTTATACATGGAGTGCAGCGATAGCGATACACTCTCCTTCTATTTGTCGTTTCTACATCTCTCTCACCCTTTTTTCTGCCTTTTTCTGTCACTCTTTTACAAGCCACTTAAGTTAGCATTGCTTTAAAGTACAAGACAAAATATCCTGTCAACTCGGCAAGCACTGCTCAATTTACCGTGGAACTGTGTTATTTAATATCGGAATTGATCGAAGGGTGTTGCATTCGGTATAGAAGCTACACGTGTGCTTATATGCGAAAATAACTGTGCACATTTGGTTGGGTGTATTAGTTAGCTAAAGGAAGAAAGTAGAAAAAATATATAAAAACATATTGAAAGTTAAATTTTTGTCGTTGAAATTGCACTAAATTCCTCCTTAACGTAGAATTCTAAAATACATAAGTTTTTCACACAATTTTCCAGTCAAATCGTCTACTCAGGTATCAACGTCAACGTTATTTGTATTTATCAGCAATTTTTGCATAATACACGCCTTATTTGTATAAAGTCTGCGTTTGGCGTACGTGAGCAGCTGTGAAAATAAGCTGAAAAAAGTGCAACATACTTTCAGGCTGCGAAATTTTGCTTTGTGGCATAATTTCGTATATGCTTTGAGTCTTTCTTTCACAGTTGCTTTATGAAATGAAAGAAAACAAATCAGCATCAGCTGAAGTACAATAGCTTGAAGTGAGTCATATGCTGAGCATAGAGCAGCCTAAAGGTATGCTACTGTTGTGGAAAACTTGCATAAAAGTTAACTAAATTTGCTTGCTCTAAAAAATTTCTATATTTAATGATTAAAAACCAAACATAAGGTTCGGCAACTTAAGCAAATAAATAAGGAAGTAATATTTCGCGCCAAAAATTATGCTACATAGTATATAAAAATGCTGAACTAAAAATGAATGTCTTTAAAAAATGCTAAGCTTAAAAAAGCTCGGCATTCCTTGTTTAAATAGCTTAAGATTTGAGGAAATCAAAATAAATACTTTATATGAAGCCCAAAAGTATGCAAGCAATATTGTCCAAATTATTATTTGCTTTAAATAGGCTAAACTAAATATGCTGCTACACTTGAATATCAAAATAATATTTAAAAAATCCTCTAAAAATCGCAACTGCCTAAAAGTATGCTAGGCGAAATCACAATAGTAATTGGCATTTAATGTTTATAAACTATTAAACTAAAAATCAAATTAAAGCGCTATATATCACCAATTGCCAACATTTTCCATTTATCGCCTAAATGTATGCAGCACAGAATCAATACAGACGAAATAGTTTGTTTAAAACTTTCTTTCCTGCCGACATTTCCGCTACCGCTCACTTTCCACAGCCAGTTCATGAAAGTTTCGACAACTTGTTAAATCAATAGGTGCATTTCATTTACTGGCATGCCCTACTTTTAGGCGCCAACTTTACTTGAACTACTTTTCGCACGTAATAACTAACTTTTGCAATCGTTTAAATGCACGCGATTGTTGCAATGTTTGCACGGCGCTTACATGCGTTTACTTAAGTGACGACTTAACAACTTAGGCACTTACTTATTTTGTTGCTTAATAAAAATGCGCTGTAATGCATTTACAAGCGCTTTAAAGCGTACAAAGTGCGACGTGTACACGTTTCACTCAGCCGTACAAGTTAATCCTTTGCCTTATCTAGTGATCCTTTGCCTTTTTTGTTGACACTAAACCATACATAGTATTATTCTGCTTGCAATAAAAGTTGTCGCTATAAAATTTGCATTTTTTTGAACTTTCATGTTGCCATTGCATATTTTTAGGAGCTGATTGCTGGTGGGTGTTTGTAAAGTTGAAATGTTACAAAGAGGTAAGGTAGGCGAATGAAGATAGCGTGAATAATGGAAAAATATGAAATTTATTTTGAAATAATATGCATATATTTTTTATAACTAAACTTAAACTTAAAACTTAACTTATTACTAAGTCAAAACTTAAAATTTAACACTTAAAACTTAAATTTAAAACTTAAAACTTGAAACTTAAAATTTAAAACTTAAAACTTAAATTTAAAACTTAAAACTTAAAACTTAAAACTTTAATTTAAATTTAAAACTTAAAACTTGAAACTTAAAACTTTAAACATAACACTTAAAACTTTAAACTTAAATTTAAAACTTAAAACTTAAAACTTAAAACTTAAAACCTAAATTTAAATTTAAAACTTAAAACTTAAAGCGTAAAACTTAAAACTTAAAACTTAAAACTTAAAACTTTATACATAACACTTAAAACTTTAAACTTAAATTTAAAACTTAAAACTTAAATTTAAAACTTAAAACTTAAAACTTAAAACTTAACAATTAAAAACTTAACACTTAAAACTTAAAACTTATAATTTTAAATTTAAAACTTAACTTAAAATTTTAAACTTTTAACGTAAAACTTTAAATTTTTCATAAAATTG